ACAACAACAAAGTCAAGGCGGTTCTGAGGGACGCGTCCCGTGCGCTCGCTGTAACCGCCTCGTCCTCTAGTACTCAAGGCGGATCACAAGGACGCGTGGCCAGAAACCCCCCCAGCAACCCAACAACCGAGCAACCCAATGAAAACAAAAACAAAAACAAATTAATGCTCTCCTTACGTTCCCCCGACGAAACTCCAAACGGATTCCGATATTTGTTCCGGCGAGGCTCCGGAACGGGGTCCCTTTAGGATCCCTATGGAAACCCTGCAGGGCCTGTAAGATCCCTATAGGGCCCCTCTGAAAAACCTGCAGGCCCTATAGAATCCCTATAGGGCCCCTATGGAAGCCCTGCAGGGCCTAAAGGATCTCTGTAGGGCCCTGCGGAAGCCCTGCAGGGCCTTGAGGATAGGGAAGGGGGGGGAAGGCAGGAGGGGAGAGAGAGAGAGAGAGAAAGGGAAATAGAGAAGAGCAGCGGCGGATGTTCTGTGACACGCCGCGGCGAAGCGCGCGCACGTGGCCGGGCGCGTGCAGGCACCCGGGCCCGCACGAGTGGCGGGCTGCGCAGGCGAGTCGCACCAGCGCGGCGATTCCTCTCTTGCACGCGACACGACGAGGAAGAAACAGCACAGGCACGGACCCAGATCTCCAACCGAACTGACCAGATGAATCGTGGCGTTTGCCCTGGATGTCGGCTCCTGGGGCCCGCTGTCGGACCCTGGGGCCCTCAAAAACTGAAATGAAACGCGGGCCTAACAAAAGCACACCCGGGGCCCTCAAAAACGGATCCGCATGGGAGAAAGCAGGAGCAACAAAGGGTGCTGGGGGGCGGGTGTCCGCGCGGACTTCTCTTGGGTCGGCGCTGGTCCTCCCCACCCACTCCCCGGCGCGCGGAGCGCGCCACGGGGCGGCGCCGGGGGCGCCGCCAGGGGCGGGGGGCCACCGATGATCCGAGATGCCCGCTCGGACCTCCGAGAGATTATGCTCACTGCCGTTGTGGTCCTCGTCGAAAGGCAGACTAATTGCGGGCGGGAAACGTACGCCGCGCGTTAGTAATTCGGAGCAGTGCGAGTTGAGACAACGACAGCTCAAGATCGGTCCCCAGACCCCTTAGGGGGTCTAAACGCACAAGTTGTCCGAGCTGCATCCAGCGATGGGCGGGAGGGGGGCCCCGAAGGCCAACTACTGTTGTCTCAACTCGTCCTCTTTCTGACCCAGACATCTGAGGTCCTGATTGTCCAAGACGGGGCCCCCGAAGTCCCGCCCCTTTCCACGGGGCCAGTGCTGCATCGCGAGCCGTTTTTCGACGGTCCTGAAGCCAGGCGAGGGGCCCCCCGAGACCGAAAGCGACGAAAGACCCCCGTCTTGATGTTTGCAATACGTCGGACGTCTGGGCGCTAATTATGTGCGGGCCCAGCCCAGCGCGCGGCCGTGCCGAGCAAGGGCACCTGACTTCCAAGGGGCGGCGGGCCTTAGCAGGCCCTGCCCCCCCACCCAGTCAGGCGGCCCACCAGCCCACGGCCGTGTGCGCCCGCCGCTAGGTGTGCACGGAGCTCCAAGAGCTGACCTCCCTCCTTCCCTCCCTCCCTCCCTCCCTCCCTCCCTCCCTCCTCCTCCTCCTCCTCCCTCCCTCCCTCCCTCCCTCCCTCCCTGAATCCCTCCCTCCCTCACTCCCTCCCTCCCTCCCTCCCTCCCTCTCTACAATTTCTCAATATGAATATACTCTCCCTCTTCCCCTGATGGCGTCTGGGTGATGGCCGCGCACCCTCCGCGCACTGTTTTTTAACACACAGGATGCCCGGGAAATCCCGGGAAACGACTCCCGCTGAGGCGCCGGCGTCATTTTTTCCCAAAATGCTGCTCTCGCGCCGGCGTCACTTTTTCCCAAAATGCTGCTCTCGTTGAGGCGCCGGCCTCATTTCTGCTCCCGAATCCTCCCCCTGATGGCGTCCGATGGCCGCGCACCCTCCGCGCACTGTTTTTTTACACACAGGATGCCCGGGAAATCCCGGGAAACGACTCTCGCTGAGGCGCCGGCGTCACTTTTTCCCAAAATGCTGCTCTCGTTGAGGCGCCGGCCTCATTTCTGCTCCCGAATCGTTCCGAACCGTGCTCCCGCTGCAGCGTGGGCCTCATTTTCGGATCGGTGCTTGGCCTCCGTCGTTCAGGATGGCGTTCTCGCCCCAGCGCGAGCCTTTTTCTCGCGCGCCCATCCGCCCGCCACCACCGCGCCGCCCCGCCACCACCACCACCACCACCACCAACACCACCACCACCACCACCACAACCACCACCAGCACCAGCACCAGTACCAACACCACCACCACCAGCACGACGACCACCACCACCAGCACCACCTACCACCACCCATCA